GGACACCGGGGTGGGGGGGAGTGTTTTCGGCCTCCAGGATGCACCGCGGTGGAGCCCCTCGGCCCAGCAGCTGCGCTGGCGCGGAGCCGGTGGGTCCTGTTGGGAAGGCGGTGGGTGCGGGGCTGCCGGGGCGAGGCCGCGCGGGCGGCGGCGGCGTCTTGGCCTCTGTCGGGGGGCTGGTGGGGTGAGACCCTTCTCTGGGAGGGCAGGGGTGCTGTTGGGGGACCTCCCTAGGGGGCCGCGCGGAGGGGCTCTCAGCGCAGCCCCGCGGCAGGGACGTCTGGAGCCGGTGGGTCCTGTTGGGAAGGCGGTGGGTGCGGGGCTGCCGGGGCGAGGCCGCGCGGGCGGCGGCGGCGTCTTGGCCTCTGTCGGGGGGCTGGTGGGGTGAGACCCTTCTCTGGGAGGGCAGGGGTGCTGTTGGGGGACCTCCCTAGGGGGCCGCGCGGAGGGGCTCTCAGCGCAGCCCCGCGGCAGGGACGTCTCGCCCCGCCCCGCCTCGCCTCGGGCTCTGGTTTACCGGAGTTTTAGGTTGAGAAAACTCAATCTCGAGCAGAAAAGCTTCTGAATTCTTCTCTAACCGTTTCCGAGGCCGGTCGCTGTTAATGACACGCCTCTCTTGATCATTATTAGTCAGTGTGCTAGAGGCACAACTAGACAGCTACAAAAAACATTTTCTCTTTATTTGCGTGCAGAATGCAAAGATTGTAAAATTTCTCCCACGTAGAAATGTAAATTCAAATTTCACAGGTGAGCGGTGTGAGATCTCTTGGCTGGAAAAGTTCATTTATCATTTAATGCAAATTAGGCTCGGATAAAAGTTGGAGCAGTCTGTTTACCTCAGAGGTGTTGGGGCAAGCAGGCTATTGAATTATGCTGCTTTCTTGTTAGGATGTTGTTATATTTTTTTCAGTATGAGCTGGAGGAACTGCCTTGTCAGAAAACCTCTTGTTTTTATCTGTCTGGGAGTGGCTGGCAAAGCCTGTGGCTTTTTTGTTGTTGTTTTTGTTTTGTGAAAGATTGTGCTATGGAGGATGCTGGGCTCAGGCACTACTTGCTTTCCTTCCTCTGCACATACTCCCTCACTAGGTAGGCATAGGCATTTTCACACATCAGGGGAGGTGGCACCATACCTAGACTCCTAGTGGTTCCATGGTGAACTTTTAGTATCAGGCCCCACTTTACCAGAGATAATGATACTTATAAAAATATTAACATGTTGGGGCCCCCTTTCTGTCAGCTGCTTAGTTCACTCATGCCTGTGTTCGGTCCTGAGAGGACCAGGCCCACCATGGGAGCTATAAGCCTCCTTAGTACTGGTGACCACTGGTGATGTGTTACAGATTCCTTTGGACAAATGATAATGACTAGTTAGGCACAGGCTCCTGGGCTTCTTGCAGACTGGATTCAGCTCACAAGCCCAGAGCATTAATCTCTGGCTGCCTGAGCTGCTGTATTGGCACAGCTCCATAATCCAGGAATCTAATACTGCTGCTGCCCCCTCCCCCCCCGTTCTGCTGATTTTAGTCCAGGGGGTGACTAAAAGCTCCAATTTTGGTGCCAGGTAAAACTAAAGGGGAGTAGAGCAGTATTAAGTCCCTGGTTTCAGCAGCCATGCCGAAATGGAGGGGATATATACTGTTGTTGCAGGGGTTCCAGTAGCCACAGCAATGAGTCTCATGGGCCAAATCTGTCCATGTTATGAGATTTCAGTAAGAATTATTGTGTGACTGTTCAGAATGTGTGCTCACTTTAACTTGTGTTAACTGTCCCATGCAAGAAGGCCCTAAAAAAAATCCTCCTTCCTACCCCTTCTGCCCCCCCACCCCAAGTCCTTCAGAACCAAGGGTTACACAAGGGTTCAACAAATTGTCAACTGCTCAAATCACAGGCAAGACCTTATGAGGGAGGATGAGGCAAGATGCTGCGTTTATTAAGTGCTTAATGCACATGCACACACCACATTCATACCCCAATTTCTGTTTTGCACTGGTATACATTACCAGTCTTATCAGTACTCGGATCAACTTAGTGGCCAGCCAAGCTGATCATGAGTAGGAGCCAGTCTCCTGATGGTCCATCTCGTCAGAAGAACCAATGCTCCAGGATGACGTGCAGAATAAGACTCAAAATCGATACGTCTTGCCCCAGCTTTTATAGCCTTGTCACCCAGTCCTCTGGGCTTCTGCTGTGTTATCACTGTGTTCTTTCTTGAAGGTCAATTGCCATTATTCTTTTGCTGTTCTGGGGAGTATTCTTCCTGTTTGGGTTTTTATCTGTCTGCATTTTTCAGCCAGTTGCCAGCTGATGTTTTCCTTTTCCACAGACAAACTTTAACCCATTCTCTCACATACAGAGGTTGAACAGTTATATCAAGCTACAGAACAATACAAAACAGAGTTTCTTAAGGCAATGCAAAACATACATAAGATTAAAAGCAATAGACAAAAAGTCTATGTGTATAACATACTGACGTTACCTGACTCCAGGTAACCATTCTTTACACTACAGATGATACCAACTGTCTTCATTTCTCACAGGTCTTGATCTTCCACTAAGCTGGCTATCCTTCCTTCTGTGATTTTACTTGTGTGCTGTCCCTTGAAAATTCCTGGGAATTCTCTCTCTCTCATATTTTTTGCAAATGTTTTAATCTTTTGCTGTGCCTGCTTTCCCTTCTGACCTGAAGAAGAATGCATTGCATTTGAAAGTTTGTCTAAGTCTATCGCAAATGCAGAGCTGAGCCAATTCAAGATCTCACCCGCAAAAATCCTGGGTTCTTGCTAGGGGTGTACTGATAAAGATTTTTTGGGCTGATATCAATGGCCGATTATTGACCAGCCATATTGACTGATACCAGTCCAATTGCTGATATGCAGCCCAACAGCTTGAAGAGCAGTGTCTGACTGGTAAGTCTGTTGGGGGAAAGAGGTTTTTTTTTTTTGGGGGGGGGGGACAGGGAGAACAGATTGAGGCCCCTACAGTGAGGGAGGGAGTGGAGCTGGGGCTAGGGCAGGGGCAGAGGCAGGTGCTGCACAGGTGAGGTGGGGCATGGGATGGAGCTGGCAGCTTGTCCAGAAGGTGTATGGGGGCAGCTCCTGCTGCTGCATGAACCCCCGGGGCAGCCATGGGGGGCATGTGCCCCTTGGATCTGTGTGTTAGATGAGGGTGGGCCAGGGGCTCTACCAGTCTCTTCCCAGTGGCTGTGCTCGGGGTAGGGTGGGCAGTGGTGGTACTGGGAGGGGGGGTGTAGGGGGCCTAGAGCCACCCCAACATTTTCTGTAGCTCTTCCCCCCTGGTACCTGCCCTCCCAGTGCTGCCACCACCTGCCCTGCCTGTCCTGAATGTAGCCTCCAGCCCCGTGTGCACAATAGCAGCCCGCCTTTGTCCCATGCACAGATCTGGGTGTCATGTGCTCCCCCATGCCTGCCCTTGGGGGTGTGCGCAGCAGCGGGAGCTGCCCCCCTATATCCCGCGGGCGAGCTACCGGCCCTGTCCCACACCACACCCTGCCCCAGCTGTGCAGTGCCTGCCCTTGCCCCAGCCCCACTCCCTCCCTCATGCCCCCCTATGCCCCTTTCCCTCAACAGACTTATTGGCTGGATGCTGCACTCCTGGCCGCATGTATGCTGCAGCTGTGCGCATACATATCAGTGACATAATCAGCCACATCAGCCAATAAAAGCCAATTGCCAATAATGTCAACTTTCCTTTTAACTGGTGCTGATACAATATGGACCAATGTATCGGCGCACTTCTAGTTCTCAGATAAAAAAACAGGTGCTGATTCATGAGGAGGAGTCTGGGTGAAAGGAAGTCTAATGTGCGGGTTTTTCCCCTCAGAATTAACAGCTTTTATGTAGTGTTTAAAACTTGCACTGATTTTTTGGGAGGTCCTTTGCAGGTTTAGGTTTATTATCCACCTGTGAAAATGAGGTGCACGGAGTCCCAGCAAACAGTTGTGTGGTACCAGTGTTCCAGTTATTTACTGTGTCTTTTGTTTTAAAGGTTACTGCTTCACCAGTCAGCTTTGTGCAACTGCTGACAAGCTCCAACTGATTGTGGAAACAGTGCAGTTTGGATGTAAAGCCCTCAGCAAACAGCTTTGTGGCTTGTCCTTAATTTGGCAAATTAAGTAGGTTGCAAATTGTTTTATTGCAAACAGTCTATGCTTTACTATGGTGGAGACATAATTTTGCACTACTACTAACTGACATTATTTTCCTTAGGGTTTTGAGATGTCTAAAAAGAAACCCAAAAAATCTAGCCGGGAGGATGGTTTGGATGACTTGGACAGCAAAGTAAGAAAAATAGTGCATTTTGTGAAAATATCATATCTTAATAGCATTTAAATTTTGCAGGTTGTTTCATAGGAGAATGAATCAGAAATTGAAAAGAGATTACTTTCTGTTTTTGGTTTGCTAGAAATGATCCATAACAGAGTAATGGTTCTGGGCTTTGTTGTGGTTTTGTTGTGAGCTTGGGCTGAGGCTTTGTTTGTGTGGCATACTTGACCAGTGAAATATTCCATTGTTGCAAACGTATACGCTAATGGAAGTTGACCTGGCATTAGGGACCCTGATGTAGAAGGGACACAGGCTGCCTCAAGCCTTATAAGCTGCAACAGGGTTGTCTAACTTGTAAGATATGCTTTCCCTCCCTTGATGCACTCTGGTTGGCATCCCCTACCATGTGCCCCGCCCCCGCAACACTTTGCTGTGCCATGCAGGCTTGCTTCCTACCTTCTCTCTAGCTCTGCAGGCCACACTGACCCATGCTCTGGCAGTAGCTGGAGCAATGAGAGCAGTGATTGGCTGCACTGTGGGCCTTAGCTTACCTCCTCTTGGGCCACATGCAGGCTGTGAGTTGATCAGCCCTGAGCTACAGCATAGATCGGATTAGTTTTGTGCAGAGTTGTGTCACTGTTCTTGAAACGCAAACGGTGTTGGGCAGCCTCTTCTGCTACAGCTGCTGGAAGAGCTGAACTGAAATTAAACCAACAGCACTTTACTATAAATTCAGTGCATTCCTGTGCTGAGCCCCATGCGTGCCCAGAAGAGGCTGCATCTCGGTTGGACCTGGCTTGCTTGATATCTGTATAGATTGGGTGCTTTAGTGGGGCTTTTTTGCTGCTTTTAACTAATAGCTGATTGACTCAGCTTTAGATAAAAGTGCCAGAAAGCACCGCTGAAGCACCCAGTTTGTAGAGGCGCTGCAGAGCTGGGTCAAAGTAATGTGCTGCTGCTTCTGGTAAAACGTATTTATTTATTTATTTAAATGTTTGCAAACAGCCTATGTGTATAACAAGTGCCAGGGTCTGGCTGGGATGCCCCTGGTGGCCATACAGCTCCTCCTCTACTTCTGCTCAAGGGTACCCTTCATCTTCTCTCACTTGCCATGCCTTTTTTGGAATTTATAGAATGTCAAAGTGGAGGCTGCCAAAGGTCCTAGGTCAACCCCCTAGTCTGTCTCACTGCCAGCAGCTCCCTCCTGGATCCCACTCATCCCAGTCCTGCACCTGCACTAGGTGGGCCCTCTTGGCCTGTTTGTGCCTCCAGGGCACCTGTTGTCTTACAGGTTGTTTGTGGCTTCTGATCTCCCCTGAAGACATGTCCATGCTTTGCAGATGTTAGCATTCAGTCACTCTCCCTGTTCGGGCTTTGACCTTCATAGTCTTTTCTCTCGCTGGGCCCTCTAGCCCAGGCCCACTGGGCTTCTGGGTTGACCTGGCTTCTTGACCTGGCTTCTGAGTTACAGTCTTTGTCTCCCCTACTTTGGCATTGCACCCCCCCGGGCCCTTCCACTGCCCTCCTTGGGCACTACTGGGATCTCCTCTATCCCTCCCATTGACTGGAATGATACTCCCATTTCAGTCCACTGGTATAAAATATAATGTAGGAATAAGCCCCCTGGTTATAACACAGATACCATACTGGGTCTGAACATAAAACATCAGTTCCCTGGCTGTACCACAAACTCCACTCTACCCTGAGTCGATTCCCCTGCAGACAAGCAGTATTCTACTCGCATTTTCCCAAGGTAGCCCAGGTGTCAGTCAAGAGCTCGTCTGTAGCCTTTCTGCTCAGGAGCCTTTTTCTCTGCACCTTGCCTGGCCAGACTGCCTGTCCTGGCTCAGGCCGTAGGCATATATGTTCCCTAAGCCTCTGTACCTTTCTGGTCAGGTGACTTCTGCAGCCACCCACAAGTTCTGGGCTTGATGGAACAGCCAGCCTGCCTTTCCTCCTGCGGCTAACCCCTTCTTAACTGCCTGAGGTTCATCTGCTGCACTCTTTCTCTTAAAGTAACAGGAGCCCTAAACTCCCTGTTGCAGTGTGGCCATATCTTGTACATATGGCCATAATATCTAGGGGTGCACCGATAGAGATTTTTGGGCCCGATACCAATAGCTGATATTTAAGGAGGCATATCGGCTGATACCAATCCGATTTCCAATACAGCTGCCTCCAGCTGGAAAGTCTGGTGTGGTGGAAGGAGAGGGAGAAGGGAAGGGGCATGGCGGGGACAGATCAATGGCCCCCATGGTGAGGGACGGGGCAGAGGCAGGTGCTGCTTGGGGGAGTGGATGGCTCCTGCTGCTGCTTGCACCCCAGGAGGGCATGGGGTGGGCGGGGGATGTACGCCCCCTGGATTGGGGTGGGGTGGGCTGCTGCGCAGGGCTCTTCTCAGCAGGGCTGGGCTCGAAACAGGTGCTGGTGGCACTGGGAGGGTGCTGTATCCACCCCAAATTTCGCCACCACTTATACAGCCAGTTTTCTTTATATCGGTACTGATCTGATATTGGACTGATGTATCAGTGCACCTCTAATATCTTCTACATTACGTAGAAGCTTCTTTTAAGTGTGTGTGTGTGTATATAAAAATGTGTCTATACTTAAAATAGTGGCTTACTCCTAGAATGTTGGATACATGTGAACGAATTGTGACTATCCAGTCTTTTGAAGTCTTTATAACCTGAAGTCTGCTTATATGCCTCTTTCTTAAGTTCCTTATGTTTCCATAGAAATTAATTATTTTTGCTGAATATGCCTTTACAGTGGAGCAGGTGAGCAGCTTGTTTCATAGGCTGCCTATACATATGCTTGTGGAGGGAATAGAAATTAGATTGGTTCCCAGATAGCTGCTCTAATTAAAATGGCTCACTGTCACATGTATTAAGCACTGCATGTTTCAAAATGGTTGTGGGACTTCAGTGAAGTTTAGATAAAGTGCCCCCATGGCCATTTTGAAACCTGCAGGAGCCTCAGGCATGTAACGGCGAGGCGATGCTGGGAATGTTCGTATTAGAATCTGGGTTAATCGAATCTGCTCTGACGCATTCTCATTAGAACGTGAACAAGCATGTGTATAGGCACCTATAGATTGCTGGTCCAAATTTTAGTACATCTAGTACCTGCTCATTTTATTAAGATATTTGTATTTTACTGCAATCCAGTGACTTCTAACATATAAAAAATTGTTTTTGCTTTCAGAAATCCGGGGGGACAGGAATTTCTAATAGTCTTAAAAAAGAGAAGCTAGAATTTCAAAGGTAAATGCATACTTTGTTCCTAAGTATAAAAACAAATCCATGAGATAAATTATTATAAATAAAAATGTTGTTTGACTTGTAGTGGCAGAGCATGGGACCTTTTCCAGAGTAGAACATTTGTCCTTGTATTCATTGATAACTTGACTGGTTTAAGCTAAATTTATGATGACATTTGGGAGATTAGGGTGTTAATTTTTTTTTAAACTTTGTAAATGCATGCTACTTCACTTTAAACAGTAGAACAGTGACACTATTCCATTGGTTCTCTGTTCTTTTCTTCTTGTTCTGTCCATTTTGAGTAGTGGATTTCTTAATAGCTATAGGCACCTATACACGGGCATTGAGGCTGCTCCAACACGCTGTAATTACAGTGCATCGGAGCAGATTTGATTTATCGAGTTTGCTGGAGTGTGGTAATTGCTGTGCTCCAGCAGACTCTAGTGTCACATGTATCAGCGTCCCTGTGCTGAATAATGGTGGCAGGAGCACTTTAAGTAAACCTTATTTGATGAGTTTTAATTAAAACGTCTCCACTGCCATTTTTCAGCATGGGGATGCTGATGCACGTGACGCTTTGGGTGCTTTAATTAGAGTGGTTCTTGGATAAGTAGCCACCTGTATATGCTGGCCAGGGCCGGGGCTAGGACCCTAAGTGGGTGTGGGTGGGAGCATGGTGTAGGTTGTCCTGTGAGGGAGCGGGCGGGGCTGCAGGGGTAGCTTTAGGTCAGATGGGGAACAGAGAGAGGAGAGGGGGTCAGATCACATTTGCATGGCACCACCTGGGTGAGCTCTGTTGACATGCCCCTGTGGTGGGCTAGTAGGGGGTGCTTCTGCACTGAGCCACTCACCTCACTGTGGCCAAACACCTTCCAGGCTTCGAGTGCCTCCCTGGGGGTGCACACTCGCTAGCCTGGGTGTAGAGCTGCTCCACCCAGGGACGGGCTTGATTCTGGCACGGTATCCCCTGAGAAACAGACCTAGTAGCCCTCGAGGGTACTTGACTCACTTCAAGAACTTAGGGTGCTTCCTTCGGTCGGAAGCACAAGTAGTGGTCTCCCTTAGTCAGTTGAACCAAGGGGACCCCAAGGCATTATCTAGACCCACTCCCAATAAGTCTCCCACGCTAGGTACAAAGGAGAACTTTATTGGTTACAAGGAGTAGGTTTGGATTAGGGTACAGAGTTGAGTAGTATCAGAGAAATCCCATAGAGCAAACAGGGTGGCTGGAGTAGACTTTGATCACGCATCTGAGTTACTGCAAGCTATATCTCTAGTTAGATCTCAGGTAGCTTACTCACAAGTATCATCCAGAGGCAGGTGGAGATTCCCTCTGGAGGCAGGCAGTTCCTTGATCATGAGTTTTGAGAGAGAGAGAGCAAGTTTCAAATGGTCCAGCTCTTCTCTCTCTCTCCGAGTCTTCCTCATGGCTGCTGCCCCTTCCTCCTGGGCAGTCCTTAACTTATATAGCCCTTATGACCTAATTTACCTGGTCCAATGGAGGCCAACACCTAGATTCATAGGTTCATAGATGTTAGGGTCGGAAGGGACCTCAATAGATCATCGAGTCCGACCCCCTGCATAGGCAGGAAAGAGGGCTGGGGACAGATG